TGCTAAAAACGCTCCTTTAGATCCATCCAAATCTCATATGCAGATTCAGAGAATATAACACTTGCAGAAATTTCTTTAGACATAGAATTTAGAATCCAGGATATAAAAATTTTGTTATTCCGGATCCATGAGTTGAGTAATTCTCGATAATTTTTAGGTCGTAAAATAGATCCATTGATGAATCCTAACTTGTTCTTCACTGAAAGTGCAATCATCATCGATCGACTCCAGGATACGTAATTATCCCCAAGCAATTGCTGCAAAACGAGCACAAGTCCTGGGGTTATCTGAGTGATGTAGATAATATGGACTGGTTCCATCATCAACTGCTGAACTTGATGATAAAGAGATATTTGACATTAAATTTGGAATATCTGAAGCCATCACATAGAAGCTTCAAGCAGAATTGAATTTGTCAGAGAAGGTGTCAATGCTCTGATACCATATTGAAGAACAAAGTGTGAAGAAAAGGGGAATTCTTTTATTCAAGTAGAAAATATCGTACAAAACATATATAAATAGAACTTTGAAACTAACAGAATATTACAGCTCATTAACAGTGGTTAGTTAACTGTAACTAACTCTAACAAACGTTAACTACCAACTTAATATTCCAATAGCCTGCAAGATTGATTAGATTTGGTCTTTTTCTACTCGACAGACACCTAGCCACGCGTTTCTTAGTGACTCAATCCAAGAGACTTGATAAATTTCAAATGATAAAAAAAGGAATTGAATCCCAACTAAACTGAAAATTTTTCATGTGAACCCCTTTTTGCAAAATCTGATTCCAAATTCCAGAAATGGAAAAACTTGATTTGTCGAAGCTGAAACTAGCATCATCTTCACAGGGAGAGAGGATAAAGACGCTCGCGCTTAGATGGGTCGGACGATCAACATGAAAATGAAGGAAATTCTCTAGTGTCTGATGCCAAAATCCAAAATAGCCGATGAGGCCACGACGGAGACCATGGAGGATCCCAACTGTAGTTTGAACCTCCGCATTTGCGACATGATTAGTAAGGAGGAATTCAATGGAATGGAAATCGTAAAGTCTTAAGAAGAAATTGGTGGCTTGAAAAAATCCGTTGATGTGTGTGTGTGTGTTTTTTTTTATTTCTTATTTTTTAATTCAATTATTTAATATGATAAATGGAAAGTTACTCCTTTGCCCCTTTTAAAATATTAAAAATGCGATCAAAATTAAATTTTTGGTCAACTGACAGAATTGTAGACCAAAAGCTTCCAAAGGGACTTCAGCTGTAACGTTCGAAAATGTTATTGGTGATGATTGCAACAAATCAAAGGTTTGAAAAAAGTTTGCTATTATTTCAAAGATTAGGAACTTCTGCTGCAATTTTCCCGATAAAATATTATATCCTAAAATTTAACCAATCAAATTTTATGCTAATGTGCACAAGAAATAGATTTATCAAATCAGGCATTGAAAGAGTAAACAAAAAAATAATATCACACATAAATTGAATTAAATTAATGGAAAATAAATTAAATTAAAGAGCAAAAAAACAAAAACATACATAAATATTTCATTATTATCTTAATTGGTTATGTATATTATTTATTAAATATTTATTACTTTATTTAATTATTATTTTAATCACATGTTCAAATAAAAAAATAAATATTTAATTTAATTTCTTATTTAAATATTTCATTAATTAATTATCTAAATTGGTCATTATTTATTTCATATTTAATTACATTATTTAATTATTTATTTATTTTAATCAATTATTTAAATAAAAAATAATATTTAAATATTTCATTAATTGTCTTATATATTATTTTTTAATATTTAGTTGCTTTATATAATTATTATTTTAATCAATTAATATTTAATTTAATTTTTCATTTAAATATTTCATTAATTAATTTTCTTAATTGGTTATGTGCACGATATTTTAATTGCACTGAAGACTTACAATATTTGTCCATTTTCGTACTTGTATCCTCAAACTATTTTTATCGTATTCTTATCATAACCTTACAATAATTAGTACATCTTTTCCAATAAATCCGTTATGAGAATATAAAAAGACTTATTTGCCTCTCATATCTTTAATAAGTAAAAAAACAACAAATAGAAATGTTTCAACAAAAGTACTTCCTTTACATTTAAAGTACACTAAATAGAATATTTGAATAGAAACCATCATTTTAGACAAGTTGCATGCACTAATTAATTAAAAGTTAGTGATATAATTGCGAAAATAAACAAAAATTAGAGACATTTATATTTAACATGTAATATCGTTTAAAAACGATGATTTCAATATAATTACTGTTTAAGAAGTCCATATACGTGGTTAGTTTCATGCCAAATCCCCAAGATATCAACAATTCCTTCATTATTTAAACTAAAATGAAGTGATAATTATGAAAAGTTTGATTAGCATCTAATAACAACAGGGGATTAGGTGGTGACTCTTGCTTCTGTATCATGGACAAATTACGCACATTCACTCACAAATTACATACGCTGTATACTCTCTCTCTCTCTCTCTCTCTCACACACACACACACACACACACATACACACACACACACAAACACAGAGTTTATTACACGTATCTTTGAGAAGAACCAATTGACTTTTGATGAAATGGTGATTTTTCCTCAACGGATTGAATTCTAGCTTACTTGTTTTACACATGTACCTATAAAACTTCAATTATTACAAGAAAACGCAATAAATTATAGTTCTAGAGACCTATCTTTATCCTTTGCTAATTAATTGAAATGATAGTTAATAGTCAATCACTTGTTAGAAAAGATACGGATTCTACCTACTCGCTAGAAATACTGCCACTCGAGGCTTCGTTTCAATTTTCTAACTTTGTTTTATTATCTAAGTCTTCATTTGTTCAAACCTCTACACTTTTACACGTAATTACGACTGCCCCGTTTTTCAATTGTCATCCCAATTTTACATTATGATAATTTGATGTTTTGGGGTTTTTTTTCCCAGCTTAAACATATTGATTGGACTTTAAAGAAATTAATCTCAATTACCGTCGTGAAAACGCGACATTTCTTTTAACAAATTGTGATGGTTAATCGAGATATCTAGATATGAATTTTGAATCGGGAATAGAGATCATACGTGCGAGCAATAGAAATTGGCATCTCAACTGGAATTGTTTTAACTTCCGGAATTTCCTTCTCTAAGATTAATTCCTTGATATATATCCCATAATGTGTATAAATGCTAAGAATTAATAGGTACTTAGTTTTAAAACTGACGTGGTGTATGAGTGAGAGGAAAACGCTTCATACAAGTCGTCACACATAGCAACAATTCAAGAATAACATAATTTGAAACGTCACATTAACATATATCTAATTTAGTATAGAATAAATATTTAGTTATAACGTAAAAACTTGCACCTTTTGAACTTTTTTCATTTGTTATTATAGTCGAATCCATCTTATCATCAATTCTCAAACCAACTTTATGTTTGTCAATCTAAATTAATTTAGCTTGAAGATTACAAGATCATTAACCCTATTTGAAAATATTGCCATGGTCAAATTAGTTATTTTTTCCCAACCAGAACCAAATTATATGCTTAGTTCCAACTCAACCAAAGGATGTGATGGTCACCACCCTTTTACAGATCATCACCTGCTCTTTGAATTTCAAGTTTACAATTTCAATTAAGCAATGTAAGATACCCTTTACGACACAATTACTAATTTACTACAATAATTATAATATTTAGTGTAATCTAATTCAGCAGATCAAAAAGCATTAATCAAGACGATAGAATGTTGAACAAGTTAATATTCACTTTTAGAAATAATATTTGCCAAACAAGGAATCCAAATTGTATGATTAATTAGGAGATGAATCATGATTGATTGAAGATTGATCACAGGTGGAGGTGTTAAATGGGTCGAAGCAAATCATCGACTAGCCCATCGTCTAGCTCAACTAGGCCCACTACGCAAACCGGCTTGCTCATCAACTCGATCCTTTTTGGGCTAGTCACTCATGGCTCACCAATTTTCCTTTAAGTAAAATTAATATTTCTCTGATCAATTACAAATAAGTTCACGAGTCGATGACGAACTCACACGATTTGCGAGCTAATTCCTGCAGCTGACGAGTGGCTAAGATGAGGTTTTCACTAGGCGCGAGCCAGCGAGCTACTCTAATCACATGGTCAAATGGTGGATTCCTTGTTAAACACTGGTTGCCGATGGCTATCTATTCATTATCGTTGTTTCTATAGAGACATATATGAATTCTTAAATTTTGTGTTTCCTAACCACTTGGGTCCCTCTCTTATCATTGTGAATTTTTGTGCGTCACCATTTTGACAATAATCCTTTAGTCAACTCTCTCTCTCTCTCTCTCTTCCCCCCTCTCTCTGTCACACACACACAGAGACGCATAGAGCCCCAATCTCGAGTTAATATTTTGCAGAACAATTTGTTATATAAAAAAGTTTAAAGCTACTAGCTACCCCAGAGTGGTTGGCCAGTGGAGGTCCTAAGGTTCAGTCAATTATATATTTGGATATCGTTACATCCACCAATTAAAAATTTAAATTTATAGATGCTTTATCCATGATCATGATACAAATATAAAAATTGCAGAAAACGAAAGAAGAAAAAGGAGGAAAGAAAAGAAAGAAATATTAAAACCAATGTGAACATTGCTCTTCCTAATTTATAATAAGGTTTCCTGATCCAAATATTTGTTGTGTTGTTAATAAATTTTGATTTAATTGCAGGGAAATGATGGAAAACAAATGAAATATTGCCTTAATAACTGAATGTCAAAAAGTTGCCAATTATTATTAGAAAGGAAAACACTAATAAGACAAAGCAAACAATTGAAAACCTTAGCAAATTGTAGGAATATTTCATCTTTTTATTTCATTTATGTTCTCGATATATACCTGTCTCCCAAGTTCTGTTAATGATTATTCATAATCCGATAGTACTTAATTTGCGATGAAAATTGAAAGACATTAAGTAAAATGAGAAGAAAATAGCATTCCGATTCCATGCATTACAGGTCCTCTTTCTGTACATACAGAAATTCAAGCCAAATCTATATGTTATATATGTGTAGGATGAAAGCTACTCTGAATAGATAGTGTACAAATACATATAAATGTATATGGACAGTGTATATATATGCTGTTAAATTAAAAGGAAAAAGAAAAAAAGGATGAACAAAAATCACAGAAAGGGAAGGCACAAACTCCAAACCTTCATGCATAGAGTGTCTAAATACTAAGCAATCTCATGAAATATAGGGTCGTCAAGAAGTTCAGACCACAGTGGAGCTCCTCCATAGCTAGATGTACTACAAGCATCTCCGGTATTAGTGTTTGAAGTCTCAGTCATCGGTGGCGCACCTGCCGGCGATGGAGTTGGAGAGATAGTTGGCGGAAGCCATGGAGAAGAAGTTGAGTTTTCACCTTGATTAAGAACTGCAAAAGGAGAGTTGGCCTGAACCATATCCCTGTTCAAAGAAGTCTGAAGGCTGCATGGGACTTGTAAATCAGGCATATGGGAGAAAGGGATTGAATCATTAATTGCCTGAAAATTTGCATTGTAATTGGCAAGAGAGGGCGGTGGGGTGGGTAGTTCCAGAGAGGGTGTGTTTAACATCATGTTTGTGTTGATGGTGTTTAGATTGTTTTGGAAACTAGCTGCCATGGAAGCTGGCGGTTGAAGAAGACACTGCAAATACTGATTCAGTCTGGCCATTTGGACAGCTTCGTTCTGAAATCTCATGGCCTGATCCTCCCATGAAGGGTTTTCAATGAGTTCTTTGAGATTGGCCAGGGCTATGAGATGCGGCAAGCTTGAAAAGATGTCGGTCCGTGGCCGGTGAGTCATTGGATCAAACCCCATCTGAATCAACTTCTTCTTCAGATGAGTGTTCCAGAAGTTTTTTATCTCATTGTCAGTCCTTCCAGGCAGGTGTGTTGCAATAGCAGACCATCTTATTTCAAAGAAAATAAAATTATAATAAATAAAGATGGAAATAAATACATTTTTCTACAAATTATATCCAAGGTAGGAGCACAAATTACTTGTTCCCAAGGATGGCATGGAGATTGAGAATTGATTGTTCCTCTTCCTGAGAAAATTTTCCTCTTTTGATATCCGGTCTCAAATAATTTGTCCAACGGAGCCTGCAACTCTTTCCACATCTGTTCAGACCTGTAAATGCCATAAACATGTACAAAGACACATATTAGAAGAATTCTACAAAGTGGTGCAGGACGAGACAGGACGCGACGGAGTTGATGGAGGGATAAGAGGTACCCTACCAGCAAGTTTGGGCAGGGCTCTCCAGCTGCCATGGCCATGTTTTTGGATATGTTTGATGAGCTTGTCATCTTCTTCTGGGGTCCAGGGACCCTTCTTGAGGCCACTTTCATCACAGCAAGGGGACCTTCCCATTTTTTTCTGTGCCTCTAATAATTGCTATGTTTCCCTATGATTTGGCTGCCTCCCTAAAATCCTACCAAATAAGCCAGAGGCTGTGGGGATTATATATAATGATCTCCTTCCCTCTTTGTCCTTATGTTGTATGCCTCTGGGACATGTCTTGCGTAGGTAGACCCACGTAATATTTGATCTTGATATTACATAAAAGCCCTTTCCTTTTTTTTTTTTTTTTAAATGCTAAAGAGAAACTAAATTTGCCAAGGGGATTTGGTCTATAGGCAACCAAGAAATGGGATTGAGTTATCAAAATGGATACTAATTGAATTTTAGATGAAATGTTTAAAGTTTGATCCAATAATAATTTGTCATAATACTGCTCTCATCGGTGATTTAATAGTATCAATAAATCGTGCGTTTCTCAAGATAATATAAAGAGTCAAAGATAATTATGTCTAATTTTTTCAATATGATCACTGAATAAAAGGTCTTGACCAGCAATTAAAAATTATGATCAGTTTTAGCATTATTATTCTTTGTTATAATATAACCTTTCATCCAAATTGCTAGTATACTAAATAGAACTTAAGCAGTCAATTAAAAAGAATAAAATTAACGTAAAAGGTGTTCAAATATCCAAAAGTAATTCAAACTACATAAGAAGACATAGGATTTGATAGGGACTTTTACCAATTAACGTTGAAGAAATTACAGAAGACTTAGAAGGGGAAAAAACTTTTGACCAACTTATGAAACACATTATTATGCCAATGTTTGAACTTTATTTTTCAGGAATACATATCATAGAATAATAATTTTTTTTACGAAGTGTGATTAAAAATTATAAAAAAAATTTCAATTATGTGCAAAATCATTTATTAGGAGAATTTAAATTAAATTTTTAAGAATGAAGCTCAAACATGGTGGGCTATAGTTATACATTAAATGAACATTAGAAAGAGGAAAGTTCTAACATTTTAATTTAAGAGAAATGAATAAATCTCTGTAGCTACCAATTTTAATTTAGGAGCTAACATGCACAATATTTATATAAGAATAGCTGCCAAATTTGAAATATGTCTCAACCTAGCAAATATAAAATAAGAGGACAATTTTGACAGTAGATCTCTAAATAATTTCCTAACTAATAAACCAAAGCAGAAAAGGCCAAAAATAAGAAAGTCATCATCAAGAACAGGTGGCGGCTGCCCTCTAATCAGAGGAACGCATTCCTCGCACGCAACGGGGGGCATTCCTTCGTCACTGATTGCATATTTTGCATGGCAATTTATATATACATATATATATATATATATATATATATAGAGAGAGAGAGAGAGAGAGAGAGAGAGAGAGAGTAAAAGCTTTACGTGGAATATATATACATGTTGATTGATGGGTCCTTCGTTTCTGAGAGATCTCTTGCCACCTTCAGCATATTCTCTGTTTCTTTATGCAGATAATTTTTTTAGTTTTTCCATAATCTAATTAAGAAATGTGAACAGATATAATATTTTGATTTTCTGACGGCTAAAAATTTTAATGACGTGAACAAGAACAATATTTTGAAGATATAAACTCTTCAATTGGACTAACTGCTGCCAGGAATTTTTGTGGGTACGTGTATATTCTATTTATGTTTACTTATCTTTTCCTTCAAAGAAAAATTAGATGTTATGTGGAAATGGTCAGACAATTTTTCACAAAAGATTCCTTGAAGAAAATAAGAAGGATTACGATTTACACTTTATCATCATTTTTTTTAATTATTATTATTTTTTTTTAGTTAAGGATCTTAACTAAAAGTTTAACTTTTTAGAGACGATTTAAGTCTTGTTTGTTAGATATTTTTCATCATTTTGCATGTATTTAATTTTTTGTTTTGCGAATGATTTGTCATCCGGACTAGTGTTTGTCTCTGTTTGAATAGGTGCATCTGTTCGTTTTTGACAATTACTTCCAACAGATGTGTTTTTCATTTCAAGGGACACACCTATTCAAACAATTGCTTCAATTTCTATAAATTTTGGGTGAATTCTCGTTTGCAAAACACTTTAAAAAAATTATTCTTTTCTCTTTCTCTTGGCATCATCAGTCCTTTTTTCGAGTATTTTATTGGTTTGATCAAATAGTCACAATTTGAATCAAACGCCTCCATTGTATCCTGAGAGAGATTTTCTATCATAACTCAATTGTGACTTCGTTGGATAGGGGAGAAATATCTCTTAAAAGATAACGTTTTTCGTGCCTTGGAGTTCATTAATTTTTTCAAATTTCCCTACATTTTTCTCATCATTGTTTTCAAAGTACTTTTCACATATCAATTGAATTAATTATCAAACATATGACATATACAAAATTTTTATAAATAGGTAATAAAATTAAAATTTTTAAATTTGCATGTAATATTATTTTATTGAAAAATGTGGGGTTAAATATAAAAAAAGAGAAAATTTATTTTGAGAGAAAAGGGAATTAAACAAGTATCTCCTAGTGTAAACTTATTCGGAACTTCCCCATCTCTCTCTCTCTCTCTCCCTCTCACTCACACACACAACACACACAAAATCTTTGGTTTCTAATTTGCAAATTTTTATATATTTCATCCTACTCTATTAGGGTTTCGCAGAGTGCAGGGTATCAGCTTGGTTCGGGAAGAAATATTTCACCACATTCAGTTTCCCTGTAATGTAAAAAATAAAAATAAAAAAATAAAAATCGATTTCATATCAAGACCTATATAATTTCTTCGTTTCATGAATCTATCATAAAATCTCAAAGCAAAAAAGAATATAAACGTATTTGCTACTTTTTTAAAGTGTATTTCCTATATAATACTCATGTATGTACGCTGTGTATGATTTTATATATACAAAAATACGTACACTTCTCTGGCTCCGGTATCATCGAAATTAAGACTTTGCTTGGTCACAGAACTCAATGTACGATGCTGACGTGAATAGATGTGACCTATTTGACCATTGAGGGAGATAGTTAGAGGAGAAGTTGGTGCAGCAAACTCTCTAATTTTCACCATCTTTGAACCCCAAACACACCTTATTTCTTTAACCCTAAGAAGCCCTTTTGGTTTTCTTGTTATCTTCTCCTTGGACTAGTATGTCGACTGATATTTTTGGTACGTCGAATTAAATAAAACTAATTAAATGGTATGTAAAACGAAAAAGATAGGTAAATCATTTGTCCATTGTCACTTTTGTCATGTATAGGATTTTGCATATAAACATTTGTCAGTTTATATTAACATGATAAATAGATGTTCAATATTTTATTTTATTGCTTTTATATTGAAGAATATGAAAAGATTGTCTATATGAAATATAATTTTGCTATGTTGGCGGGTGAGACGATGAGCACCATGTATGCTAAAGGACAATGTCATTTGTACACTTTTTTTTGTACATTATTGTTGACATTATAAGTATTGTCAATAATTTATTGGATGAAAAACTGTCCAACGGTGTGTTGTCACGTGACAAAGTGTAAAAGATGATGTACACTATACATAATTAGTGTGCTAAATTATCATTGCCAGGTGTAAAATTGATCACGTGTGTAACTCTTAAATCTTAATAGAAAATAAAACGTCAAAGGACGATAACATTTAAAATAAAATGATACTATGCAAATTTAGATGGACTGTGTATCTATTATTTATCCACACACGGAAGAGATCTATATCTGTGCAGCGATTGAAGAGCTATGGCTCAGCTGCTTCGCGTATTATACCGTATTGCTCGAAGGGAGCATATGCTGCAAGAGCATAGATGAGTGATAAGCGTAGGAGACATGGCCAAAGGGAACTGAATCGGCGGCTATTGATTCCTATGAAAATATGAAACTTGTATTTATCATGAAATAGTCATTTGTGGACTTGCAAACCTAATTGATTTGGAATTTATGTATTTTTATGTTTATGATCGAATTTCTCCAATTATCATACATATTGAGCTAATAGTAATTTTTTTTTTTTTTTTTACCATGTGTGTTTAGGCCAACTTACGCACACCTTGACTAATTCTACGAGATTCTGAAATTTACAGTCGAGTATTCATCTCAGTGACCCTGAGAGGACTCGAACTGAGTAGAGCTAATAGCAACTACATACAATACATCGATTATGTGCCTTTATTGATATAATACAAGTACATTAACTTTTGATAATGAAAATTTTTTAAATTTTTATTTACGTGCACACTAGAATTAGCATAAGCATTTCAAGTCTTGTTGCAATTCAATTATATAAATTACCTGCATAAGTCTTTATTTAAAAATAAATTCAACATCCAAATAAAGAGTACCTTAGAGATAAATTATAAATAAATAATTCATCAAATTTCATAAATGAACTATCTTATATATACAGAATCGATCTCCTGTCCACAGTAAAGAGAAGGTTATAATGCACATCACGTTGCCACATTTTTTTATTTTCTTTTTTAACTTTATTACCCAGCGTTGATGTGGTAATGTTACACATTGTCATATTATCAGTTAACATTATATTTTCTATTCACGATGAACAAGAGATTAGGTCTTCTATATGCATCACTATTCAGAAAAAAAGGGGGCATGTTTTTATTTTAGGATACCATTGATGTTGACACGAAAGTATCGACATCAAAAACCAAGTGGAGTCAAACCAACAATGACGTAGCACTGGAAGCGATTTTCCACTTCTACCCCGCCCCAAAAGAAAGAAAAATGAACCACCTTCCTACTCTTTTTGGGAAGTGGGGTTTAAACTAAAATTCACGTTTTAATTACATGATACCGTATCGGTAATTAAGTGAGTAAATTGATTGACTTATTTGTCTGATTAATTTTCCCTCACCATATAATTGATAAATTATCTAAAATTAATTAGCTGTGTGTAACTGGTCCTCCATTTGCATAGATTTAAGGGTATTGTTCCTTAATTATAAACTATTGAATTAAAATTAATTTCAATTCAAAAACTGATGATTTTCATCTCGGAGTGTTGAGAAATATTTATCACTCGAAAACCTGAGAAAATGGAGTCTAAGGAGACATTGAATTTTAATAATTAATAAATTTTCTAATATTTA